TAGATTAGTCTGCATTGATCATTGATCAGATTGATTTCAGTTCAGAAATGAAAACGAATCAAATGCTCGCACACACCATGTTGTTCACGAACATGCATTCGTTTCAACGACAATCGCGATACCAATTTCAATTCACGTTTATCATTTCTCAACAATCGCTTCAGTTCACCTTCCCAATGTGGATGCACATACCACAAGGCACTTTCTTTCGGTAATTTCACCTGCACACAAACCATACTTACACATATAAATTGATAACAATGAATCATTCATTCGAATGAATTCTTTTCAATCTCTCAATACCATTTTTCACCTTCCGATGTAATTTCATATCAATCATTGTGTGTGATTCGATGAAACTTGAGTTGTGTCATGTAAACTTTTTTCCTCCTCTCTTTATGTTTCTCATTCGTTCATTATTGGTCGTGTCAATCATTCTTTATGAATAGATCTCTTATTTATTTTTCACGCTGACACTGTTATGAAACGGAATTTCATGAGAAAACTTTTGAAATCGTTGGAAAAACGATTGGATGCGTGAAATTGAATGTCATGGCTAACATCAAGCATTGAACTTTTGCCACACGCCTCAATAAGTGCCAACGAACTGTGGTCGTCACTAAAGAATTGCTTCAGTGTTTTGAAGTCCTCCACTTTGATCGTTTCCAGTTCTTCTAAATGTGCTTGATAGAGAATCTGAAACTTGCATATTCCACATTTCGTTCTCCAATTGGCTTCGAGATTTCGAAAGATAAACAACTACAAACGTACCGGATGATCCGCTAGTCTCAATGAGAAATCCATTGTTTTCGGCAAATATATCGCAACAAATGCCTAAAAAGAAGCAATAACTCGTCACTCTTCATTGATGGTAAGGCTGCTCTAGCTTGACAGGAAAAGCCACATGAGGGTTTTAAACATCATGATTAGTTGATTTTATCTTGTTGTAAATATTCAGGAACACACGGAATGAAGTGGCTTCTGCCAGCAAAAAGTTATTCTTTGAACACTTCTCATGATCAAAAACGAGTCTCATTTGATCTTAAATATTATTTGATTTATTACTTGACTTAAACATCTAAAGTAAATAATTGATTACAAATAAATCATTTGATTTATTCGTTATAGCGACTCCTTGAAAAGATGAAATGTAATTCAGTAACTCATTGATGTTCTTTCAATAACTATTGGCTACGAAACGCTCGTAACCACAACATAGATCGCTGTTGAAAGAATTTCCAAAAATGAAAGTAAAAACCAGGGCTTCATGGAATATTTCTGGAAAGCCCTATAACTGAACTTACTAAAAAAATTACGAAGAAATACAAAAACAAACATTTTCAGATATGAACATGAGGAGGCAAACGAGGATGAAAAGAAATCCAGCTATAATGCTACCGCCTAAAAGCACTTTCACACATACTGTTGTCTTTTCGCCTCTTTTTCTAGCATAAAACTGGAATGAATACCGATCATTATTTGCTTTCAGTATGTTTCAACGATAACATTGACAGAATGCAATTCAAGAAGGAATTTTAGCAACCGCAATCCCAAACCCAAAAAAAACATACAATAAAATTTCAAAGGGCTGAATAATTGAGCGTTGGTTCAAAGGTTATAACGAAGACTTAAAAAATGTTTTGACCAATGTTGATTTAAGATGCAATATTTTTTAACTTGATCAAACGAGGGACGAAAGAAAAGAACTCAGTCACTGCGATAAATCATTCAGATTGAGTTCTCCTTTCGCTCAAGCAATGCTTTGCTTCAGTTGACAAAAGGCAAATTCAGTGATTGATGTGACTTGAGAGGAAATGGAAAATTTGAGAGTCTAAAAACTGAGAGCAATTTTCAGCGAGTGAACGGATGTATTGAACGAGTTTTACATGAGAATTCATTCTGCTATGAGACGATTAGAACAAATTACCAATTCATATTTTCGTAATCCATTGATGAAATAAAGATAAAAATCAACCGTCTCGAGAGTATAGAAATTGAACAGTGGTAACGATGTGTCAGTGAAAGTCCAATCGATAACAACAGACACTTCAAAAAGTGGTACTGCGAAGAAACACCTGAATGGGAGTTAAATAGCTGAATCCATTCAACTTAAGAATCCAAGTGATGTTCCATGACCAATTTGATCACTTTCAAAATCTTGATGAATACTTCAGAACATTTTGAAGAGTGTATTTGAAGTCAACTATGATTTTTTCGGTCAGTTTCGGTCGACTGATTTTTCGCGATCACTCCGATCGATTCTATGTGCAATGCGAGAATTGCAGGAGAATTTTGTGAAAATGTTCCTTTCGGATACTGCTAAAGGGAACTCGCATAGTTCTCTTCAGTGCTAAAGAGAACTCGCACAATTTTCTTCAGTGCTAAAGGGAACTCGCACAGTTCTCATCGATTTCGAGCACATCCGGTAGACCATTTCTCCACAAGTATACTCGAGTTATTTCGTTGAAATCGCAATGAATCCGGGAACGGCCACTCACATCACATACAATAGCCAGCTGATGGGGTTACTTTTACGCATCGAGCGTCCGTATAAATATTGCGGATAACCGTCACGAATCTGAAATGCCGATGCCAGCATATGCACACACCTTGCCAGGTACCACAAAAATAGACCGATATTACCGTGATGAAGAGAATCTTCCGGATCACTGCAAATTATTCAGTTGTTTTCGATCGATCACAAATTAAATTGAGACCTTTTTGATCTCAACTGAGCAAAACTGAATTATGTCGGAATTGCAAAAACTGCAACATTTCATATAGCTTCGAGTTTTGCTTGAATTCCATTAAGCATATGAGATGGATTTGAAATGTGAGTCACTTATTGCAATTTGTTCAATGGCTTGTTACGGAATGCTTTTGGTAGTTTCAGGAAAACCCATTCAGGGCCAATTTCTTAAAGAGAATGTTTCCAGTTCGCAAGAGAATCATAGAGTAAACGAAAGATAAACTCACTTCTGTCTAATGACAAGAACGGCAATCACAAATGCATGCGTACAAAGTGTTTCGATGATCAGATAAACGAATTTCAATCTTTTTGCCTTTCGTAAATATATAATACGATCGAAGATTAACTGAAATTGCGACATTTACAGCAGTCGAATACTTGCGATCTTGATGAACACTCGCAAAACATTCGAAAGTTGCAATTGAGAATATTGATGAATACTATCGAATGCGTTTGAAATCCTCTTGCAGAGTATCATCACTTTAAGAGCAATAATCATTGACTAGAGTGTGGGATGGAATCGCCGAACACACACCTCACAAATCGAAACCATGAAGAAAACAACAAAATAATCGGGCAATTTCAAGTCGCCACCAAACGATAAAACATTTCGTCTCGCCGTATCAAAATCCGAGAAGCGAAGAATCAAAACAGCAATCGCGATAAAGTGTGATACAACCATCCATGGATAGTAATCACTTGGCAGTGGATTACGTGGATTGAAGACTGACTTCATTAGCGATATCAAACGACAAGGCTCATCTTCAATTATTCATTTGTTCTTATTCAATATCAGAATCCTCAAAGATCACACAATCACAATAGAAATTTTATAGAAGCGATCAATTCCAAATGTTTGATGAAACGACAGCCGAATTAGGCGAATGCTTTTTGAATGCAACTCAAGGTTTCGCGTCAATTGAATAGAATTCATTCGCTAAATGATGCATACCGTCGTCTGGTTGTTGCAAAATTCGTGTATAACATCTCCACCACGAGCCATCTCTCTGCAATATTGAAAGCTTTCAAAACTAACTGCCAAACATACTTGAAACAGCTTATTCCTTATTCGTTTAAGTACTTTAAAGTCAATTATGACTTGTAGAGCACTGTAATAAACTCAGTCCAAATTATTGTTTCATTCTCGGCCATCACTGACTCATGATTCAACCAAATTTTTATCACTTAGACAGTATGAAGCACTCTCTATCATCTCCGTGATTAATAGCCATATCCACGTGGATATTTTCAAGTCGAAAAGTTTCTGAGCTAGATGATGCCTTTTCAAATTGAATTTGACTCGTTCAACTGAATTACCCGCATCGAGTAACGATGAGTGAAGAGTGCAAACACGACCACACAAAACAACAACACCGATATGGGTTCATCGGCAATTCCGACGAATCGACCAGCTCGACGCATATTCCAGTCCGCGCAATGCATTCCACGACTACAAGTCCACGGCAAGAAACTGTACTTGAAATTCATCATCACTATTATTATCACCTGAAACGACTTCGAACCATCGATGTGGGATGCTGTTATGAATAAAATTCTCGATGAATGCATACATTTACTTGAATTCTTTCGACTATCACTGCGGTTATATTCTCTCGAATCTTCTAAAAGCCGAAACATTTCCCATCCTTTTATCTGTAGTGAGAAGAAAGTCATCTCGTAAAA